TTCTGGCATATAAAAAGGTGTTGGATATAAAATCCTTCACATATCATACATAGAAAATGTCTATATTTTTCCACTTTTGGGTGACCCGTTTCATTAACATCTTTATCTAAAAAAAGGAAATATAAGATTTTAGAATAAAACACTGAACTGGTTCACTCCCAGAACTACTGAACTACTTACTTCTGGGTTGAACTCAAACATCAGCTGATCTCCTGTCAGGAAGTCGTCTTTAGGGAACAGCTGCATGTTCTCACAGATGTCCTCAACGTACTCTATAGGGTCAATCTGACAAAGACGAAATCATTCCCACTCATTAAAAACCCAGTATTCAATCGCATCTAATGCAGCAGCACATGAACATCTGGATTCTTACTTGCTCCTGGTAGTGAAACTCGTTCGCTTCAATCTTCTGAATCTCCTCATATATTCTGAAGGCATGAACAAACAGACTGAAATATTACCTTTACTTATCCCAGACAGACGCCCAGATGTCACAACATCTACACTTCTTAACACGGATGAAGGAATATAACAAAAACAAAAATAATAAAGCTATAAATATATAAATGAACAAACAAACAACCAAAGCACATTAATATGTCAATACCTAGAATAATGCAGTATTAACTACCTCTACAATTTAGCCAGACAGATTATAAAAGCTCTGTTTGAATAAAAAAAAAAAAAAAACATATATATATTTTTTTTTGTACATCATTGTTGTGTTTGTGTGTGTGACTGGCAGTGCCTTTTCTGTGGTCCAAGGGTCTGCAGCATCTTCAGGTACTGGAACACCAGGTGAGTCACCTGTGAAAGAACACAGAAATGAAATGTCCTTCAGCTTTAATGGAACAGTACCACCTTCAATTTGCTGGTAAACTTACTGTAAAATGCCTCTTTTTCGACATTAATGATGGGAGTTAGGGTGAAACGTACTGTTAAGGTTTATAAACCAAAACAATTACATTAATGCGGGCTGCCAATCTTGTTGACTGTGTCTGTTGATTACAGTCATTAGAACAAGCTATGACAATCATTTGAAAAAGGTGTCTTCATTTAAATACTAAACAGGAATTAATGTGTGTCTTTTCTCGCCCCCTTCAGAGATTCAAACATGTAAATGAAATGTCACCTCTGCCTTTGTGAATAAAGAGTAATAATTATTAAGTGTGAACAACAGCGTCCTCAGGCCTGACCAATCTGTTTGTCAGAGGAGAATACAGGAAGAGCAGTATGACATAATAATTGCTATGAATGCAATAAGTGCATGTCACAGAGTATAGACAACTTTGCACAGACATGAGAGTGGTATAAATCTTCTCATTTAACTCTTGGCAAGAAGTGTCAACCTTTTAAAAATGCTAAAAGCTTTACAAATGAAAAGTTGAATAACATATTTAAACATATTCAAATATGCCAAATAATTACATAAAAATATAAAGTAATTAATAAAACCTTCAAACTTTTCCTTTAAGGTATTTTTCTGTTTTTATCGTATCTTTTATATCTATGGTATTTTGTGTACTTTCTTTCTCATAGCAATATCTTTATTAATATTGACAAATAACTTCCAACAACAAAGAAGCAAATATGTCCTCATCCAGTATGAGAAAAAAATATCAAAGCCACATAAAAAAAAGGTTCCCATATTGTTATGTTACCTCGCCTGCCACATTCATCACATTACTTAGGACAGTGTGTATTTTAATGTTCCCACGTGAGCCTCAGCTATGCCACAAATCTCCAGCTAACAAAATAATAAAAGTATGCCACTTCCTTGGCGTACTGTGCATGCCACACTTGACTGCATTTTGCGCCTTGCACTCCAAGTCACTAAATTAGTGCCAAAACAACTCCCAGTTTATCTTCTCTGAATGAAAGAGAGAGTGATGAAGTACCCTTGATCACAGTAAACAACATCCTCAAGGCCGATGCAGCATTTATACATCAGTTATCAATGCAAGTTTGTTGACTTGAAACATTTTTCCATAAAGAACTTCAGATTAAACAGTCCTCCTGATCGCCGGCTGCCAAGCATTGTCATAGCAACTGATAACACACTTCCTTGAAATTAGCTGTTTGAACACAAGGCCCAGAAGCCAGCCAACAGGGTACCTCTAACTTACACTGCTGCCAGTGAACAGAGACTAAAGTATGTCAACATTCACTATCTGCACAATACATTCTCTATGATCTGACAACAAATGATTTGGATGATCAAAATCAACATGTAAATCGCTGCCCGTTTTTGCCTGATTTTCTCTGCTGAGGCCAGAGTCACAGTCTATCCATGTCTGCAGAGCGCCAAAGAATGATAAAGAGAAGAAGAGTAAAAGGTGACGGCTCTTCTTTACCTGGTAGAAGTTTTGGAAGCCTTCATCAGTGAGGGTGATGGAGATGGAGAAGATAGAGTAGGTGGTGTTTTGGTCAAAGCCAGTTTCACTGTTTCCTCCAAACAAAGCCAGAGCCCAGCACCTGCAGGCAGACAGACACACACACACACACACACACACACACATTAAGTGTTGAAATATGTGCAAGGCAATAAGTAGGAAATATGTCACTTCATGTTTCTTGATTGCAGACAAAGCTTTGTGGTCCCTTTGAGGCAGTGAGCACAGCTTTAAAAACGCCAGAATAAAGAAATAACATGTATCATCCGGTTATGTGTCCTGCCTTGTGTGCAGCTTTTCATTCATTTAAAAATGAAAAACAACTTGCAGAGATTTGAAACTTTCTTGAGCTGGGTAATCCGTCACAGTGAAACATCATCATCACAGCTTTTATCTGCATGAAGAAATGTTCTAGTGGTATGAAACTGAAAGGCAAAGGTTGGTTTCAAAAGTCTGCACTGCATTACCAAACAAGTAGAAATGATGCTGACTGTGATGGATGACACCAAGCGAGTTTTAAATCTCTGAAAGTTTTCCTACTGCACGGAAATGAACTGGAACCAGTGGTGGAAAAAAATGCATGAAATAAAGTACTGTGTACTTTTTAAAATAGCCTGCAGTGATGTAGATCAAACATCTTTATTCTGTTGTATCGTAAATGCCCTAAAATCTGCATAAATGCTGGTATGGGCCTTTAAACTTTAAGGCATCTGATCACTACTGTTCAAAACAGTAACATCCCCCAATTTCACTGAGGGGGAACAATGGCCCAATTTCAAACCAGCCTCTCAAGCCCTCGAGGTTGTGATTGTCTGAACTCAATAAAAAACAAACACTCTACTGCCTCAGCAGTTTGTTTCGACTGGGAATTGAGATGGAGTACACTCAAATTTCACTGTTGTCATTTATCAACAATTGAAACAGCACACACAGTAAATAGGCATATTCTATCAAATGCTCCAAGTGGTGCTGACTATTGGAACTATTGGATGAGCTCTTGGTACTATGGGACTACAGAGGGTTTGGCGAATCACTTTGCCACTTAGCAACAAGAGGCTGAAATGCTCTTGTACAGCCACATCCAGGGATGAGAATGTATGAATCACATTGTCAAGTGGGCTGGCAAAGTGTATATATTGAAGATTGGGCTCCAACACTCAGGGCTCGCTCAGAGCTTGAAAAAGCTCATGTATACCCTGCAAATTGAAGACCTTTTAATTGGGTTTTTGAGTGCCCCTCAAATCAGAAAAACAAACAGACACAGGCAATAACACTCACTTCTTCCTGAGCACTGAGAGGATGCTTCCTGTGCCTTCGTGGCCAATCAGCCAAGAGATGTAGTGGAGAGGCTTCACTCTGAAAAGAGGAGGGAAGAACATGAAAAGGAGAAACAAAAAACATTGATGCAATCCCTCTACAATCAGGGGGAAAGCATGGTATCTTTTGGCTGGTCTAATTCTATGTTTATAAGAAGAGGCGCCACTCTGGGGAAAGAAGACAGGGACATGGGAAAAAGAGAAACAAACATATTGGATGCAATTTCTTCAAAGTCAGGGGACAGCATGGTCTGTTATATATCATTCTGCATTTATGTGTGCTGACCCATTTAATGTATATCTACTGTATGTAGCTCACCTGTAGTATTTCTCCTGAGGGGGGAGGGCCCAAGTGATATTCAGAGCATGAAGCTTCCCAACAGGGACGACTGCAAACACACAGACACAAGGTCAGAGAAACAGCATGATAGAAAAATAACTCAACTTCTGCTTATCACTGCTGGCTTGTATTTTCTAAATCTTTTTGGCTTGTGATCCAATAGACCAAAGCTTTTAGACCCATCTCACTAGTTTGCATATGTTCACGCGTTGTAAGTTCAAGTTCAACCAAGGAAAAATTGTTTATCTCAGATTGCTTTATTTGAATGCTTTATATAGGCCAGAAGAGGTAAATGTGTAGGAATGCATAAGAACAAAGTTGTGAAAAGATTAGAAGAAGGTCTGCAAAAATAAAAATAAATTCTGCTTTACTATCCTTCAAAACAATCTCCTGACCCCTCAGATTTATTCCAAGGTTGGGAACTGCTACTCTACAGAACCAGAGTGTACCAGATGTGTTCAGTATTCAGAGATGCGCAGTAGGATTGATCAGTACCTCTGTAGAGCTTGTTAAAGGCTGGTGTGTCAAAGGGATCCAGCATATCAGAGAAATCTGGCTTGGGAAGATCACTGCAGGCACAAAAACAGAATTACCAGAAGAAAAAATTATACTGTATCCATTAAACTACCACAATATCATCTTAAATCAACCAGACTGCTTTTTTCATAACAGCAGTAAGTTGTAATGTAATTGTGCTGAATTTTAAAAAGGACATAATTGAAAAATATCACCTTGTTTCTGCCAGGCGTAACTCTAAAATATTAACTTTTCATATGTTTTTAGCTTGATGAAAATTAATTAAGTTAATCTAAAGGAATGAGAGAAATTTGATCAACCAATATGGGGGCATGTACTTGAATTGAAATGAAAGCATACAAAACTAGAGGTTATGTGGTTTTCACATCATAGTGATATGAATGTTGATACTCTACAAAATAAAACCCTGCCGCAGTGACTCTTAAAGCAAATAGAAGTGTAGTTCTCTAAAAGAAACACTTATTCACCTCTACTTTAGGTGAATTATCCCTTTTAGGTGTATGATGTTGAATAAAAAAAAAAAAAAAACACCTCTGAGATGAAGAGAGGTAAAAAGAGCCGAGAAAGAGACGGAGGGAGGCTTGACATTTACATTTGAGCAAAGTCTCAAAGGATATTCAGACTCAATTTATATCACACCAGCACCTCATCACAGTGACTGAGAGCCACTTCTCCAATACTCACTTGTTAGGCACCTTGCTGAAGATCTCTCTCACCCACTCCTCCAGAGTGTCCAGCTTCTCTAAAGGACAGACCGAGTGAAGGAGGATAAATTACAGTTTGAGTGCGTCTCAATAATTCTGGCTGAAAACTCATAATTCTGGGTTTAGTGTCAGCCTGAGCATATAAGCAAGGAACTTATTTGGGAATAATAGGAGGTACCAGTCAAGTTTTATGGCCAGCATTTTTTCTGCAATAACCATTCAATGCATTACATAACATTCTGTAAGTCTATATTATAGTTTTATTCTAACCAGGTCCCTCTTTCCCATCAAGGATTCAAATTACACACAGAAAAAGATGCTTGCATATTTTTAAATGTAACTATTCATAATTTCATCTCATTGATAAACACCTGTCTATTTACTGAGCACTCTCCTATAGTACGTGTATCGATACCAACAGTATCAATAGTATTTAACATAAAGTTCGGATCCTCGTCACATAAGGTCACATTTTCGACACATACACGCTCTTCTTTTTTTGCAAACATTCTTTGCTTGAAGAAAAACACTCCTGCCCTGCGCGCAGCACGAGATTAGATCGCAATTGAATGCTCACAGCATGATGGAAAAAGGCCAGTTATTGAATTTATACTTTAATAAAACAATGTGACGCAGTGAAACTTTTCTGCCCTGGTTGTTTGGCTATGCTGTAAATGGAAGAAGAAGCTACTCAAGGTGAGTTTTTCTACCTACTTGTGTCAATTGGATGTGCTATTGAAATCCACTCGCCATTACCTCAAGTGTCACAAAATCAACCAGGACGGAAATCTTAAAAAATTCTGATCCAGTGTGTAACGTTTAGGATGATCTATTGGCAGAAATAGAATAAATACTCACAGGTATATTTTCATTAGTGTATAATCACCTGAAAATAACATCGTGGTGTTTCCGTTTTCTTAAAATAAAACGTTTTTATCTACACAGGGAGCGGATCCTCTTCTACGGAGGCCGCCATGTTGAATTCATAAGGTGATAATATGTCAACATTGTGTTTACCTTGAAGTAACCCCAATAAATGAATGATGTTTTAAAGTTGCATTTGCATTAAAATGGAGATGATCATAATTAAATCTCATATCAAGAGACAACTTTATCGGTCTTCCTATTTCCTTATTAGTAGTTAAATCTCATATCATTTTCCAAGTGAAATGCTGGTACTATATAAACTTTGTTTTTAAAGGGATCCAGAAATCCTCATGACACCTTTGCATTACTGGATTTTCTAGTTGAAGAAGTTAAGTAACACTGGAGGTTTCAACAGGAATACAGAATGCAAATAACAGCTGTTTCATAAGGATGACTCTTCTCAGCAGAAATGTCACCACTAGTCATCATTTTACAGTTAATTAGCTGTGCAATATTTGTGAAACCCTGAAAAAATGTTAGATATTCTGTATCTGAATTTGTTTTGAGAAATATTGCAATTTGAGCTGATTCAGAAATAATTAACCGCAGCTGGCTGAACATGAAGTGAATCCTTATTAGAGCTGCGACTAATGATTGTTTTAACTGTCCATTAATCTACAGATTGTTTTTCCAATTAACCAATTCATTTGTTGTATGAAATTATAGAAATCAATTACATTTCTGTTAGTCTAATAGACTACTAACTAGACTATGTACAATAAATGGAATAGATTTTCCTGACCTTTTGATTGCACAGCCAGAGTCATGTAGTGGGCAGAGTAGTATTTCTTCCAGAAGGCTCGCAGTCGCTTATAGACATTGATCTTCTTCTGCTTTGGCTCCTGCTTCAGAGTCTGGGCATTCCCTAGTGTTGTCACAAGTGAGCAATCAATTCAAGAGAACTATAAAACACTGTAGAAAATGGTTTACAAATGCAGGAATATCAGCAAGAAAAGGAGACTTGGCATCTGTCTCAGCACTGCTGTTTGTTATTGCTGAACATACCATAAGGAGGCCCTGCGTGTATTGTGTCCCAGCGGTTGTGTTTACCAACTCACCCCAACAGAACTTGCCCATAGGGTGTCCAGGTTTGGCCAAACTGCCAAACAGCATCTCCTTCCTGTGGGAGTCTGACGGCTTAGCCAGCTGGTACTCTGAAAGACAGAAGGAGGAACAGAAAACCTTGAGATGGCAGAAAGAAAAGACTGCGATCAATGGTGTGCAAAAGAGCTGCATGAGCAGCAATGCGGCTGATGAAAAGTTTCCCTTCAAATAAAACACTTAAATTATAACTTCTCAGCAAGTAAGTGATGCACAGAGGCAAATCGAGACTCACCGCTGTCAACGGCCTCCACTTCCCTATCAATGGCGTCTCGGATCATCAGGGGGCAGATGAAGAACTGAGCCCACCTAAGAGGATGACAGGACAGACACAAACAGACAATAATCAGGGACCACATATCAGCCAGAGTTAAAGGACACAGGTCAGACAGAGACAATCAGATGTAGACTGATACACACCACAGACTGGCACAACTGCAGAATGGTGATAAGAGCCTGTAATGTTTGTCTGAGTCTTTTAGTACAAATCAGGAGTCAGTGTTGCACCACATCCTGTGACCCAAACATAAACAGAACATTTTTATACTAATTCATCAAATACTTTATTTTGATATTGGCAAAAATGCTTCCCCCATGGTATACAGAGCAGGACGCGTCTTGCCACAAAGTGTCCAAAGATCTATCATCTTTTAACATGTCTTTTTTTTTTTTTTTTCTTTTGAGTAAATGTTCTCTTCTTTTCTTGTTCCTGGGTTTTGGTGGTATTATTCTGAAGGAATCATTCCGCTTCTTCACAAGAAGTCCACTTCTTAAGGAGCGACTGCACCATAAAAGAAAAAGTACCTCTGATCCCTAATATCCAACACCTGTAAGAGCTTCTAATTGAAGCTTTTCCTTTCATGGACGGTCAAGAGATCTGGCCCAAGATTTGGTCCTCTCGCAAAGGTGCGGTAGGAGCGTTGTCTCCGCCTCCCTACCATGCTTCGTTGAGGAAAGCATCAATAAGCCTATTCTGATGGAGGGTAAATTCTCGTCCTTATCCCCACGACGTGTAATGATACACCACCTGGGATCACAGACGGAAAAAGGAGAAGAGGAAGAAATCCAGTAACCATGTTGTAAATCAAAAAAACATTAAGAGAATACATAAGAGGAAATCACAAACAGTCTTACTAGGGTGAATGTTCCCTATGGCATTTTTGATGGTTTTTCTTATTTATGTGTTACAGCAATCAGTGTGTGGCTGATTGAATATTTTCCTGTGCACTGGCAGAGTGAATATTTTGATAGCCAGAATAAAGCTTAAGCTGAATAAGATTATCCTTCTTAAAGTATGATTGACTTTCATTAACATCCTTTTAATATGCAGTGATTCAGTTCTGATGTACAGTCTGTAATGATATGAGTTAAGGCCTTTTTTTCAAACGGACCATTTTGGAATCACAAATGTTCAATCGGTATAATTCATATCCGGTAGCGGAGACACCTCCTTGATGATTAAAATAATTTCC